TATTGTATCAAAGAAATGAATTTTATCATAAACAGAGACTAGAATAGTACTCTGTTCGACTCGGTCGGTCTTGACTGGTTGGAAAATATTTTATAGATATTCCATTGTTCTCTGACAAAACTTGTTAACAGCACTTTTGCTTGCTCTTATCAAAATTATTAAACAATTTTGTTTCAAGGACTATTTGTTTTATTCCCTTCTGTTTGTCGCCACTGTTTCATTTGTTTAATCAAACTATATTTCATTTTAAAAAAAAAAAGGCACAATCGAAAGTATGTTGCTTGAAGTAAACTTATATTATATATGTTTTAGTAAAGATCACATTTAGGTTTAGATCATTGTTTCAACAGCAATATTAAGTTTGTCTGTAAAGACTGAGTGAGTAAATTCAAAATTTGTAGTTTAGGAGTTAATTGATTGATAAATGACTCGTTCTTTTTTCGTGTATATAGAAATATCACGTAGTCATCTTTGAGAAATCCAACAGATATAAACAATAATAACATAAAATTCTTTCTTGAAATCATTCGAATTAACCGACCGAACTAGTCAAATTCAAAAATTCTCGATCGACTATAACTCTGACACTGATTATTATATATGGGGCAGATTTGAGGTTTTTTTTATTTACTGGATATACAAACAAATATATGTGGAATATTAAATAAAAGAATTTTAATATTCTTCAGATTGTTCTTGAAAAAGTCCAGTCATTAGTCAACTAATATTATAAGGATATATTTTAAACTAAAGTTGTCATTTTTTTTTCTTCTTCATTTATACAAAAGAAACTTATCCTTGAACAACTAAGAAAAGTTTTATCTTCTCGACGAAATTCTTATTCCATAAATGAGTAAAATAATCATGGTTACTATTTTTATTATGAGAAGATAAATAAAGAAAAAAAAACCTGACATTCATCTGGATTTAAAAGAAAAAGATCATTCTCATAATAGCCATTTTATGACGTAGATCACGACAAATTATCAAGTAGTATATATATATGCAAATTAATTATAAAGCAACGAACGTGGATAACAGCATGAAAAAAAATTGAAATAACTATCAATTATGTTGACTTAAGTAACAACCATTAAAAAATCTGTCTCTTCTTTTTTCTGCTCAATTGTATTTAACAAGAACTAACTAAATTTAAAATTATTTTTTTCGATCTAAAACAAATCTTGTAAATCTGTAATTTCTAAAAAAAAACATTTGTTTTGAATCATCCGGCTTTAGATATAGTTACTTTCGACTTATTTCACTGTGAATGTTAAATATGGTTTATATATTTTCACTTTTTTTTTTTTTGATAATGGAAACTTTTCTAATTATCAATGACGAGGATGTATTTGTAAGCAAAACCACATATTGTGAACAAAATAAAACCAAAAAAAAAATAAGTACTCATTTATGATGAGAACAATATGTTTTAAATAGACCAAGAGAATCTAACAAAATTAAAAATATATATTCTTATTTAATACTTGATTTACTTAAGGCTGAGATATCTTTTAACATTGATGAATAATTTGAATAGTGTTCGCATTAATGAAAAAAAAAAAAAGAAGAAAACTAATGAGATTTTATTATATTTTATAATTCATGCAAAAAAACTGAAAAATATATCATACACTCTGTCTTCATTTGTTAATTCTTTTTAGATAAGTTCTTGCAAAGTTCTTAGTTTTATTTTCTCAATGCTAAATATAGTCAAATACTAATCACAGATACATTGTCATTATCTCTGTTTCCGTTCATTAATTTCCTTCAAAACTTTACATCTGTCATTATCGAGACTTAAGAACATATTTCTGTACAACATCACATTACTATAATTTGAATAGTTATTTGTGTAAATTAATATTGTAGTACCTAGGAACCCCTAGATACTCCAATTAATAAGTATTATAATTTAGATTGTATTCGAAATATATCTAGGGTATAAGGAAACAATTCTATGTATTTACACTTCCATACAAATTAAATATTCAAAAGAAGTCTCATTTTTTATACGATGAGATTATTATGATTCCTGAAATAGAACATGTCGAAGTCATTAGTGAGAAAGTACAGATGCCAAAAAAAAATAATTTGTTTTCATAAATAGATAAATGTTACAAGCCAATCATAGAATAATAAGAAGCATTATTTGTATTCAGTTTTTATTTAGTAAATAATAAGATATATTCTATTGAAATGAAAAAAAAAAATTTTTTTTCTGTCAAATCTATTAGAATATTAGATAATTAATTCTTTTTTTGCAATATTCGTTCTTCTCGAGACATAAAAAGTATCTCAAAGTAAGAATTTTGTTGTTGTCATTGTGTGAATGACTACAAATATAAGGCATTCAAAAAAAGGAAGTAATTCCGGTGTATTAGTGAAAAATTCTATTATTTATCAACAACCCATGGTAATGAGAGATGAAAGTATCATAATTGATTAAATCTGAATGAAGTTTCTTTGCGTTCTTTTTCTCTTTTTTTTTAGAGAAGATTACCTCATCTTTCTTAGACCTTTGTACCGTTTCATATATGTTAGCCTACTTTCTTTTTTTTTTTATTCTAATGAAAATATATAAGATAGAACTTTTCTTTCTTTCTTATAAACTTTTATTGGATAATGACAAAAGAATTTTATAAAGTTTTCGAATCATTTATTAATGTATGATGGTAGGTAAAAAATTTTCGTTTGCAATTCCAACAAATGTATGCTTGTACATATTTATATGTGTGTTTTTCTATACTGAATACAAACGATGTTAAAAGATAAACAAATTAATCTGAGTTATGAGTTACTGATAGTTAACTATTGATTATATAGTTTTTAATACTTTAATATATACAAGTCTTATTAAATTAGATGAAATATATTCGTTGTACAAGTTATTTTTCTTTTGCTAATGTATTAATTTGTTTGTTTTTTATCTTTGTTATTAATGTTTAGATTAAAATTTTAAATATCAAATAGATTCAATTGAAAATTGACGAGTCGATTGATGATATATTTTAGTTGCTAAATAAAATTGTTATCGAAAATTTTATTATCAATGTTTAGAAATAGACCGTTGAATAAATTTGATTTTTTAGAGATAAAAAAAATACATATAACAATCTACAGTTAAGCTTTTTACTCTTCAATTAACCAACATTCATTTCCGTAGGTGGATTTTCTTTGCATGAGAAAAGCAAAATTGTTTTATTAATACTATAGAATTTCTCTTCGCTAGACTTCTTAAAGATTGCTTTTTGCAGTTTAAGTGTAGAAAAAAAGTTCTTTCAATCTATAAGAAGAATGTTATCTATGCTATGAGATTAGATAATCGAATATTTATATATGATTATTAATTAAATTTGCTTATCTTCAGTGGATTCTAAGTTAAACTTTAGATAGAGAACAGTACTGATTCTTGTTGAAGTCTTAATTAGAAAGTTCGAAAACAAAAACTATTGCAATTACTAGACATATCCAATGCATAAATTATCATTATCTTGTGCACTTATGGATAAAAATTTATTTTTTCTTTCTCTTATTTAAAAATAAACTTAGGGTTATCTTTTAAACAAGCCTTAATGAAAGTTTCGCTTGTATTTATCTTCTCAAAAACAAAATTAGTATGTTATGAACGGATTAAATATTATCTTGCGGTGTGAAGTACTGCTTCACGGTAGATTCAGTAGTTCGATAATTAATGCTAGCTTTAGCTCTCGACAAAAATCAGATATATGATTGTAGATAAATAGTCATCAGTGAAATTTGTCTGATGTTACCGGGATTTGAACATAAGGCTATGTGAATACGAGTGAAATAACGTAGTCACTCGACTAAAGCAGTTCTCTTCCCGTCCTATTTACGATTTGATTGGTTTTCTTATTTTCATCTATAAAAACGAATGAATAATTGTCGCAATTTATTTTAATATTAATAAAAAATATTTCTTTTACTAAAAATTATCATTTATTTCTTCTTAAGTAACGCATTAAAAAAAGAACATTCATTTATTAATTTTTCAAGCGTTCTCTTGTGTTATCTAAAACTGCTCTATTTCACATCTATTGGTTATAAGATTTTAACCAATAAAAAAACGTCCTTGTTGACCTTGGAATAGAACCAGTGAAATATTTTATAAGACAAAAAAAAAAAAAAAAGGGAAAGAATAAGACAATCAACATTTTGTAATTATGTTGACAAGTTTATCAATTGATCATACATTATTAAAACCTGATGCAACATTAAAACAAATCGATCAATTGTGTACTGAAGCAATTGAAAATAAATTTGCTACAGTGTGTATTCAACCATGTCATGTTAAATATGTTGCTGATAAATATTCAGTACGTATTTGTACTGTTATTGGTTTTCCACTTGGTACAGCAACGACTCAAACAAAATTGTTTGAATGTCAACAAGCATTAAATGATGGTGCACAAGATATTGATATGGTTATTAATATTGGTAAAGTTAAAGATGATGATTTTCAATATGTACAAAATGAAATTGAACAATTAGCTAAATTAGTACATTCATTTGGTGAAAATAAAATTCTTAAAGTTATTATTGAAACATGTTTATTAAATGAGAATGAAAAACAAAAATTATGTCAAATTGTTGGAGATGCTGGTGCTGATTTTATAAAAACTTCAACAGGTTTTTCAACAGGAGGTGCAACATTAGATGATATTAAATTGTTACGTCAATATTCACCAAAAAATGTACAAGTTAAGGCATCTGGTGGTATACGTGATAGTAATTTTGCAAAAGAATTAATTCAAGCTGGTGCCACACGTCTTGGAACATCATCTGGTGTTTCCTTGATGAAAAATATTCCTTCTACATCGAATTATTAGTGCTTTAAAAAAAAAAATGTTAGAATTCATTTTACTTTCCAAAAATTTTGCAATCAAACGGAATATTAGCCTCTTCATCTATAATGATTTTCTTTTCTTTTTCTGCTTTTAGATTATATTTGTCTTCCCAATTTGTTGATGAAATAAATCATGTCCGAATCAAGTTGTATATTAACTTGGAAAAATTTTAAAAAAAGTAAACTATTGTCTATTTTGTTTTTTAGACTTTAGCTACGGTGATAATGGGACATTTTCCCCCCCTATGGATGTGACAAATCAAATTCAAAATGGAACTATACAACATACGAGTGGAAATTCAAATTATTCGAGCGGTTCAGGCGGTGATTCACCAACGTCATTAAGTCCGGGTAAGAAGAAGAAAATAATTAAACTTAAATATATTATCTTGTTATTAATTTTTAGTTCCAATGTCGTCTGGTGGACAATTTATGGGTATTGGTGGAAATTCAAATTCATCAACAAGTTCAACACCAACAGCAACAACAAGTGGTGGAATGGGTTCAGCAGCAGCAGCTGCTGCTGCTGCTGCTGCTGCATCTCGATATGCTTGTGTTATATGCGGTGATAAAGCATCGGGTAAACATTACGGTGTTCATAGGTTAGTATTTTTGTTTTTTTAAAAGATTTAATGAATTTATTAATTTAATATATTTTCAATTTTAGCTGTGAAGGTTGTAAAGGATTTTTTAAACGTACTGTACGTAAAGATTTAACATATACATGTCGAGATAATCGAGAATGTATTATTGATAAACGACAACGTAATCGTTGTCAATATTGTCGTTATCAAAAATGTCTTAATGTTGGTATGAAAAAAGAAGGTAATTATTGTAATTATTTTCTTTTTTTATTAACTTGTTATTTTCTATTTTCTTCTTATATTCATACAGCTGTTCAAGAAGAACGACAAAAATCAGGTATGAATGGTGAAGGTGAATCACCATCATCACCTAGTACAAGTATAGGCAGTGGCAGTACAAGTACACATATGGGCATTGGTTCTTCAGGTTCAAATAGTGATGATGAAATGTTAATTGAAAAATTAATTGCAGCTGAATTATCTGTTGAACCAAAAATAGAATCATTTCATGAAGAAGAATGTTCATATGATCGTTTATTATCAACAACAAATTCTCAACTTGCACATTTAACTGATTGGGCTAAACGTGTACCACATTTTTCAACATTATCACTTGATGATCAAGTTGCACTTGTACGCGCATCATGGAGAGATATACTCTGTTGTTCACTTGCATATAGATCCATTATGGCACCAGATTGTGGCCTTGTATTATCTGTTAGTATTTTTTTTTCTTTTTGTTTTAAAGAGGTTTTTCAGTCTATCTAACTATATATTATATATGGCAGCTGTTGTACAATATGGTTCAAAGAGGAGACTTTATATTATCAAAAAAAAAAAAACACAAGAAAGATATTGAGTACAAATAGAAATTATACGATAATATAATTTTCTTTTTTTTTTCTTTTACATATAACTTGATTGTTAAAGTAAATACTTAACTAGAGCTTAATTATATTTATATATGATGTCAAACAGAACAAAATGTTTTTCTATTATTTTGTTGATATAGGATGGTTCTTATGTTCGACCACATACAGCAGTTGATCAATCTCTTCAATTTTTTATTACACGCCTCTATCATGATGTTGTAACAATAATGCGCGAATTAAATGTCGACAAGGTCGAAATAACATGTCTGAAGGCTATATTTCTTTTCGATCCTGGTATGTATCTGAAAAAAAAAAATGAAATAATGATTTGATTTTTTTTAGATGCTAAAGATGTTGTTGATACATGTCGTGTATCAGAATTGCGCGAAAAAGTGTGTATGTCATTAGCATCCTATTGTAAAAAAGTGCATAGTGATGATGTAGCACGCTTTGCTAAATTGCTTCTTCGCATGCCACCTATACGTGGTTGGTGTATAAAAGGTATTGAAAATTTATTTTTTGCTGGTGCAGCACGTTCAGCTGATTCCGAAATAATTCATATGATTCGAAATCGTCAACTTTAAATAAATAGACAAACTTTTGAAGACTGTATACACACAATATTTGTTCTTGTTGTTCTCAATGTCTTCTAATCAGAGTTGTGAAATATAGTCACTTATTGTCATTGTCATTAGAGCTCAAAAATAAATAAAAGAAGACAATTCAATATCTTTCTTTTATTTATTATTATTGTTTTTCGTCGCTATAATATATATATATATATATATCTGATTGTATTGTCATAAGTATTCGTTACCCTCTTCTTCTTTTTTGTTCTATTTGTGTCTCTGTGATACCCCATGATTGTTGAATTCAAACATTGAAACCAAGAAAAAAAAAAAATTTTTTTTTTGTCAGCGTTACTTTTCATTTTTCTTTTGTTTTTTGCCGGTTCTTGATCTATAGTTCTTATTGCTGTATTTCTACTTTTTTGTTTTGGATGGTTCCTCGTTGTACATCGTGTTCATTAAACCCATTTATACTTTCTTTTTTTTTTCTATTGAAAAAAAAAAAAATACATATGTTTGTGCGTGTGTGTTTATATATGTGTGCATATCAAAAGAGATATTTACATGGTAATCTATATTGAAATGTCGAATTTGAATATATATACGTATTTAGAAAGACGAGTGTAAACATTATCAGCACCTTGCTTAGAATATTGAATTGAAGTCGAAGAAACTTTACTGCTAGACATACATAAGGTAATTATTAAGGAAGCGATTTAGTAGAAAATTTTGAAGTTATCAGAGTGAATAGATCTTGATGAGTAGAGCAAAAGTTGTTATAGAAACAAAGTTCTCAGATGCTATGTTCTATGAAATATTGGGATCATAATGGCCCACATATTTCTCCGAGATTCTGTATTTGATTGAGCTGAAAATTATTTTTCAGGCAATTGACGTTACTTTGAGGTAGACTTGTTTTTAGTTTTTCTTCTTTGAATAAAAAAGCTAAAATATCGTTCTTTTCAATAGATTTTTATTTCAAAATGTACTCAACTTCAGTTTATACAATGACCACAAAGAAAAATCAAAAATTTTGGGTCACAAAATTTGAGGAAGCTACTTTAAGATAGATCAATAACAGATTTTGACTTACAATATTGAATATGATATGTTTTGTATATAGTTAAGAATTTTTGAATATAATCAAAACGAAGTTATTAATTTAATTTATTATGTTACATTTTCATTCTATAAGAAATGGTGTTAAAAATTTTTATGACTTGATATAATCATTTTCTTGATCAATTGCTCAACTCTAAGAAAACTACGAAATACAGTAAATATTGATGTGCTATTTAAGATGCTATTTTTTGTCGGTCAAACTTATTACCCTCGATAGTAACTACTATATCGAGATATAAAATTTATTCTGTGCATATTTTGATGTAAAAGTCACATAAAGTCAAGTTTAAAAAGAGCTATAGTATTTATCGTATTGCGTTGTTCATGATGCTTTGATTAAAACATTCAAGCACAGTTCTTATCATCAGAAAGAATATGAATGTAAAACATTTTTTTTTTCTATGATAGAATGTAATGTTTTTTTGATAATATACATCAATTGAGAGTAACAATAGAAGTATCTACTATTTTATAAAATATTCTTTTATTAATTTTTGTATGAGAATAAAACTTTACATAGGATTTTAATATTTGATTAACATAAAATAAAATCTAGAAAATATCATATCCTGTCTGTGGTATTTACTTAAGAAATGATGAATAATACGATATTCCTTTGTGTTAATAAAAACTTTGTTATTCTATCTGAAGGAAAAATCATACTGGATTAATCTTTAGTATGAGAAGTGAGAACTACGCATAAAATAACAAACTAGACATGCTCTTTCTCATATCATAGATCTTTTGATGCAACACATATTATAATTTTTTTATTGAAACAAAAAGTCTTCGATCATCTCATTTATATTTCATATTCAATCTAATATATGTATATCAAAGTACAATATAAATTCATTTATATTTCTACTATAAGTACAATATGCAACTGTTAAAACATTCAATGAGCTAATTAAACTTCTAAAACATCAATCTTCTTTCACCTATTTTAAATATGAATGATATAAGGTCAAGAATTTTTTACACCTGATTCTACATTTATAATATGATAAGAACAAATATTCTATTCAATGAATAATTCATTACATCTTATTGAACAATCTTGACTTTGACTGCTCACATGAAAAATACATGATTGATTATTAAAAGAGTAAATAGTTTTATTCATACAGATTATAATTTAAATAGAACTAAACAAAAATTATTTTTTTTTTTTTTGAAAAATGATATTTATTATTTTAACAGTTATTTTCTTGGCAAAAAAACATTTAGTTTTGTTTATTACATTATATTTGACATTGGTTCCCTTTTTACATTTTAGTTGAAGAGTTGTATTATGTTCTATAGATGAAAAGGAAATATAATAACCTATGAAAAACAAAAAACAAAAAGAACTATTGTTCATTCGAGTATTTATTTATTTTTTTTCTAAATATAATTATATTTAAACTTTGCTGAAGTATTACATTCGACTTCATAGTTTCCAATTTATAAATAAATTGAATTATACTTGAAAGCATTTTTAAGTATCAAATAATAATGGTAATTATTATTAAATATAAAGATAAGCACAAGCAATAAACGGATTATTATACTTCTATCAATAGATTCAAGTGTTGATGAATTAATATTAGTATTATGAAAGTTAGGAAATTGATACAATACAAAAGCTTTGAGTAATGTTACAATAATAAGTATACATATGATTTTATCAATTTGAATTGAATGTAATTTTATAAAAAAGATAAAAAATAAAAGTATTAACATATGTGAGAATTTCAAAAAGTTGCGAAACTGATTTTTATTTAAGAAAAAGTTAAACAAGTTATCAATGAAAAATGCATGTTTTCCTTTTCAAAGTATCACTTCTCTACTGTGACACACTTTTGTTAATGCTCTCGAAGCTTTTTTATAGCTGCTGTAAAGTCATCTTCAGATAGGTTATTCAGACATTGATGCAATGATGAACTTAATGAACTTCGGTCATTATATTGCTTGCTCTGAGTTGATCCTTAATAAAATTGGAAACAGGAAATATCACTGAGAGGCAGATCTGAAAAATAACATGAATGATAAAGCCATTCATATTTCAAGTCATGAGTTATACAGGAAAAGAGATGTAATGTATATGGTGAAACATTGTCATCTTGCAAAATGACAAAAGCTAAAATTATAATTCACCGTTGTTTTCTAATCTCTCAATGAAATTCTTTTACCAAAACATGTGCGTAGTATACTTTAACGGTTGTTATACTCAGTGACACTGATTATTTGAAAATTATCTCTGTATAATTTTAGCAAAAAACCATTGTCAGCAGACTTTTCTCTCATGTTTGTTGTTGCGGGTGAATCAGTTCATTTTCACTGTCATGATAATTGTTTTGACCAAGATTCATCAACAGTTATAATTGAAAAAAGAACGTCATTTCCTTCAGTATAATAGCGCATCAAATATTCTTGACATTCTTGAACATGTTCGTCTCGTTGATCACTTATGAGTAAAGATGATACTCATATCTTAAACCGACTTTATTCATTTGTAATGGATCAGGCACAATACTATGTACAGTACTATATGAAATATTTAGTATTTACTCTTTGCTGAATCGTGATTCTATGATCTTCAATAACTAGACTTTTAACAACTTTAACAGTTGTTTTGTTCGTTCCAATAATTGATGATGATGATGAAGCATTGTCATTACAAATTGTCACCATATTTTCATAAATATTGGATGGTGATTAATCTTTCAATACAAGAAACTTTCTTACTAAACGGTGTTTAAGTTTTTGATTTGTCATTAGTCTATTTGAGGAGGTGCTCAAAAAAAAATTATGATTGAGTACATAATATGATCCTCGTAGTTCGACTATTTTATTCTTAGGTTTTTGTTGTACAATTTTGTTTTTAATCGATATATTTCTAGATTTAATGATACATAATAGAATAAAATGCAGCAAATTTATCTCAAAAAAAAAAAAGTAATAGAAAGCTATTCGGAATAATTTGCATTCAGATTCATATATAATTGGTATTCCGAATAACTCATCTTTACGATATAATTCGTCTTGTTGAATTCTAACAATAACAACAACAAAAAAATAAGAAATGATGAAATATCTAATAGAATTGAAAGAACGTTAAAATGTATACAATGAAAATTGTTATGGTAGAGGCCAATGATTCTTTTTTGCTTGTTTTATATAATCAATTAAAGCAATTACACATTCAGTAGATCGATATTCAGGTAAAGAATAATCTTTCATAAGCCATAGGCGAAATTGTTCATGATCAAATTGAAATATATGAATAAATTCACTTAATAAATCTTCAGCTTTTATTATTTGCTTAGTTTCTTTTAGTTTTTTTAAAGTACTTATTCCAATACCGGGTAATTTATGTAACATCTTATCACCTAATGGTTCAGATAAAAGTGCAGCAAATTTATGTGAACGTAGATCACATGGATCGATATTTAATGGATGAATTGACATAAACAAAATGATAAATAATTTTGGAAATCAAGCATTAAATTAGTGCGCTTTTTTTTTTTTACTGCTTTTGAATTAGAAAATAGTTCGAAAGGTATTATTAGAATCTTTTTGTTCAAAAACAAAAAAAAATTGTGCTCTTAGAAAAATCATCAATTGATAAAATTAAGTAACAATGATTCATTATCATTTGATGATTAATAAGACAACTAAACACGAATATATAACTGATTCTACTGTTTCTAATCAATAGATAATGCTTTCGTTTTTTATTGTTATCTAGTTTTACTATAATTAGATCATTTGTATATTCATAAGTCAAATTAACATTTATCTGAGATTATTAGACAAGAAATATAAGTAGTTGCGATTAATCAAAAATAAAAGAAGAATGTTGATGGAAATTTCTTAAATGTGTATCAAAAATATTAAATGTTAATTGCTTTCTATAAATACTCCGTTAATTTTCCATTAGTGGTGTAACGAGATGAAGGGTAGAGAGGACTTAGCTTCCTCATTCGAAAGCTTGGAGCCCCTGCAAATGATGGAGTTTCACTTAAAAAGAAGCTCGATATTCCTCTACCATCGTGTAACCAGAAGGTCTCCATGAAGTCAACAGATGTGGTCGGAGAGTTGAGTACCGTCTATGACTTTTTGATTCCGTCACTATTTTATGAAACACGATCTGAAAGGACTATTCATATAAACGGGTAAAATTTAAACCCACTACTTCCCCACAGGCCATGACAGATGTTGTTGGTATACTATTACAGTTCTTAATAAATAACATCGTATTATCATATATGAACTATTTTCTTAGCACATTTCTGAAGAATTAGGTAAAAGGATGGTGAAGAGATGTGTCACAAAATAGATAGAATAAAGCAATCTCTTTGTAGTTAGCAACAGCAGCTACATCGTGTTTAGCATTGTAATCATACAAAGACTGTGATAGCAGCTTTCCTATTAGTATTCAATATAGTTGTTTCTTCAACAAGCAAGTATTTTTGACTCACCAATCGTTGACATGAACTGTCCACAGTCTAGCTAAAAAATTGATTCCATTTTCCCCATGTTTATTTTTATTCCGATCGGTCTGAATTTAATCTTTCATTGCAAAAAGTTGTTTTTTTTTGCTTCATTTCACCTATATTATATGTCGCAAGACACAATAATTGAGTTTTTATAGTCTCGAAACAAAAATACAAAAAAAAAGAGAAAAAAATGAAATATTAGTTTTTTAAGCACATTTCCAAACAATAATGGCTGTTGTTCCACCAAAGAACATATATAAAAGTGATTTAACTTCATGTTCAAGAAAAAATCTAAACAAATAAAAATTATCTATTTATTTATTTCCTTATTAATAATTTTCTACGAACCCAAATCCTTCCCCTACAACACATTGCCAAGTTGGACCAAATTTTTTATCCTAAACAAGATATTTCAACAAATAAAAATCTCATGAACTTTATTCTCGAATTGTTTCATGGCTACGCACATACAGTAAAAAGTAGCTACATACAAACTTATTTGTTGCTAAGGGTGATACTTTTTGCTTTAATCTATCTTTCTCAATTGTCTTGCTAGTACATGATAGTAAGGTAATTGAGAAAGTGAGATGAAAACAAAAGGTACCATCCTTAACAACAACAAAAAGCTAGTATAATGGCCATTTTTATGCATGTGTGCAGTCAACAAGTAATTCGCGAATAATGCTTATCGAAAGTCTTTTCAACTAACCATCGTTTCTTTAATCATTCTAGCAGCACTCTATGAAAAAAAGAAAATAACCAAATCCATTAAATTAAATTAATTTTTTTTTTTGAATACAAACTTCATTATTCTGAGAAAATTTTTCACATGCTGTTACACATAATTCCATACATTCAGTTTTAAGTTCATCATTCATATCACTTGTCTAAATATTATCTTAGTTTAAAAAAAAAAAACGAAAAATTTTCATAGTTTTCTTACTCGAACAAGTGGATATGTATGTCGTTTACTCTCTTCTTTTTGCTGTGTTTCAGCTTCGCCACCTTCAGCAGCCATTGTATCACTATAACTAAAAATAATATTTCAAATAACCATGTTTTTCTACAATTTCTTTTCTATGGCAACTACCTTTAGAAATATTCTTTTTTTTTTTTTTTTTTTCTTCTTCCAATGACATCTAGCAATGAAATCATTCGTTATTTATACATACAAATCATATCTTTCGATTACATTCATCCATTTGAAAAAAGAGAAAATTATTATTATTTCACATTTATTTTTCCTTGTTGACAAACAAAGACAAGAGTTCATTTTTATAAAAAAAATGGATAATAAAACTTCTGAGTAAGTTTTATAAAATAATCAAACACTTATTATTTTTATTTTTATTTTTCTAGAATAAATTGGTCTGAAATTGCTGATCCATTATCAACGAATCTATTTGATAAATATATTCAACAATCAATAGCTATACCAGTTGAACATTTAGGTATAAATGAACAACTTTGGTTACAATGTCGTTCATTTGCATTAAATCTATCAAAAAAAGGTTTTATTGATCCAATATCAATATTATATACATCATTTAAACGTTATTATTCATCTAATATAACATTTAATGTATTTACACGATGGTTATTATTAGATAAATTAAATAAAAATGATTTTCAAATAAATTTATTGCGTTATTCAACATTTCAGACAATTGATCAAATTCTTAAAACAACACAAATAAATAAACAAATTAATTTTATTAATCCATTAGTTGATATTGAACAAATATGGTTTTTATTTCCAATATCAATACGTTTACCAACAACTGGTTATTCATTAATACCAGAAATAACGATTTTAGATAATGATGTAACACGTATATCATCAAAACATAAAAGAACATATCCATCACGTGTACTTTTTTTGTTTGCATTAACACCAAGTGGAAAATATTCAAATCAATTAATTATATGTAAACCAGGACGAAGTATTAAAGTTAATTATGCATCAACATCATTTACACGTATTATTGAAACAAATACTGGTACTATTTCATATGAACATGTACAACAATGGCTTGATGATTTTATTTCATTATCATATGGAACTAAGAACAGGTAATTTAAAGATATTTCTTTTCATTCTATTGAAATTTTTAAATGATAATATGATTTCAATTGTTCAAATTTTAAATTATGAATTTCATTATCATAAAACTTGTAAAACATACGAAATTATATTTTTTTCTTATATTAATAAATTTAAACAGTTTTTTCTACTATCAAAAATTTCGAGTGGAGTTCGGTTTCTATGAAAATTATTAAATTAAAACGATTAGAACTGTTTTTCTTTTAGTATCACTTCTTATAAAGATGTTTTTTTGTTGTTAGTGAATAAGCGGATTAAATTAAAACTTTCATTGCAAAACTAACAAATTTAAAATATATAAAAAAAATGTTCGCAATTCAAAGTTTGGGCCGAGTTTTTGCTGATGATTGGATAGAGCTCATCCAATTGCACAAAATGTGTTGTTCACATAAAAACCAATATTTCACAAAAAACATCGAAGATTCTATCATTTTCAAGTATAGGAGAAAATCGACCAAAATTTCAAACATATATCTTCTTATGCAACTCAATGAACTGTATTCCATCATCACAAAAGAACTGATAAAATTGTGAATTTCGAACACTTTCATTTATTCTAAATTTGTTAGTTTGGTAGTGAAAACTTTAATTGGACTTGAATATACGCTTAATGTTATTAATTAACAACATAAATATTTAAGTTGTTAGAGCAAGAATTTTATGTGCTATGTTTCGAGTATTTTTAGAGATTAATTTTACTATTGCACTGTTTTTCTTAGGATCCAGACTAGTTGATTTGATAAACAAGACTGCAAAAAAATCGTTTAGCAACGTTCATAAGTTATTAATCCGTTACCGTTATGTTATTGATCCTAAAGCGGTGAAGGAAAGTTGAATAAGAAGATTTTTTTCCTATTATATTAAGCATCTAGCTTAATCCAAATAGACTTCTCTATTTAATGTATTCTATACCAAGATTTCATGAAGAAATTATAATGATAAGGCTTGTAAAGAAAAAGCAGAACATGGTAGTTTTCGGATTTTATATGAGTTTGTCAAAGATATTTATTAACAGTACTTATTCTAAAAAAACAATGAGGATTCTTTGTCTCTTCTACAAACTTAAAAGATACAGAAAATATAGCAAACCATGTTTTTTTCGTACAGAAGAATTAAGTTCTCTTTAAGATGATACTATTAAAAAAATAGTTCTGACAACGTCTTCTGGAAACCCAAAACTACTATGTTCAATTTCTCAGAAACATTGTTTCAACAATCTATTCATAAAATCGTGACATAGAATTCCCGTAAATAGAAAAACTTCATTTAACTATTAAAATCACTATGTAGATTGACACTAAATGTTTAACATTATAGAGAAAAAAAAAATCAAAAAATATCTTGTTGTTAAATTTGTTTTCAATGAATGATCTTAAAAATTACATAGAAATTTACTACTTAGTTCTATATTTCGTCTAATCTGAAGAAAGTGAAATATCAACATGTTCGATTAATATGGACAAAAACTAGAATCTTGGCTTTGTTTTTCTCTATATATTATCTATAGAATAATTTAAAGACACTGAAAACAACCTCCAAAATTGATGCTCTAAAAGTTATATATAGATATTACTTTAATAATACAAAATTTGCTCTTAATAATTTCAGTCTGCATACTATTTGATTAAATTTTTAGTTCTCTTCTCATCGATCCACGTACAACACTTTTAACGGCAGATTTTGAAAATACTTGTCAAAAATTTGATATTAATATAATAACAACTGAATTAGATTCTTATATAACACATATATTATCACCATTGTTTTCTTTATTTAATAAACAATGGTCTGAAGCAAATCGTGTAGATAAAATGCATTTTAAATCAGTAGGACATATACAACGTATGATTCATGCAATATGGTTTACACTTCGTACACTTAAACAAAATGAACAAATATTTAAAATATTTAATCAAACTATTTTATGGAAACTTAGTGATCAAAAATATGTACAATCATTACAACCACCAACACAAAATTTATTACCAAAGAAAAAAAAGAAAAAAACTCTTGTTAAAATAGGTAAAATCATTTTTTTTTTACTTTTTTAAAATTTTTATTTAAAATAATTCGATCAAAAAAAAATCGAATGAATAGATAGTTTTTCTGTTTTGTTGATCTACTGTACTTATCAAATATAATTTGTTGTTTACTATCAGATGACATTAACAATTGTGATCCTCTATTTTTAGACATGCATCAAATTGAAACTGTTCGATCTCAGTCGAGAGAGATTTCTATCTAGTGATATTCTTTCATATGTAAATTTGATCATTGTTCTTAAAAAAAAGTTTGTTTCTTAGAATTCTCGACTTTCAGCTTAACTATGATAAATTGATAGTTTTGAAAATAATTAGTAGTCAAACTGATCGATGGATCAGTTCGTTGTCAATGTCAAATTCTACATATTTGTGTCATAATATTACACTGACATATACAGGACAAAATTCTTTTGATTCCGATCTAGAGAAAACTCTTTCAGAATTTATTCGTATGACATTTTAAAAGAATTCTTCAATACTTATTTTTTGTTTTATTTAGCTAACAACTAGAACTTTTTAGGTAATCTTTCTTGAATTATGTTCTGCTTGATACTATTTATAAGATGACTTGCTTAAAACCATAGAATATTTAGTTCTGGTAGGGACAAGTTTTTTTTTTCTTGTAGTCCCGAATCGCAGCTTTGACAACTATTTCTTTTGTTTCCGGTCCGGATATTAGTAAAATACATTTTAACCGACTCTTAGCGCTGTTTTACTTGGAATTTATAGCGATTGATAGAGTTTAAGACACAAAGTCTACTAGATCTTACTCTGAGCGAAAATTTCAATAAAATAAATGTTTGGAAAACGTAACTCTGCTACATATTTTGAACTGACTAGAGCAGTCAGCCATTGTATCACAACTTCATCTAGTATAATTTTCCCGACTATTTATTTGTTTGACCTTTTGGCTCCAAGTGGGATTTAGTAGAATTAATATCTGAAACTCTATCAACCAATATAAGTCCTAAGTAAAATAGCGTTCAGAGTATATTTTACTAATATCCTTTCCATTCCAGCAAATCTTCAAGTTTTAATCCTGCATTTCTCTAGTACTAACTATATTTTAAAAAAATCTGTTTGTCAACGAATTTAATCTTTTGTACTTTGAATGAAATGATCATATAACGAATAATTATCTTTATATTTAAGGCAGTAAAACAAAATTAACATCATCATCAGCAATGATGATGGATCCACCAATGGATTCTACACCAGAACAAATTCTAGAATATATTCTTAATCGACAAATATCAATTTCACGTGCAAGTAAATATTTACATGGAATGAAATTAGATTATTTAAAATATTGTTTATCATATAAAATGAATTCATCATGTATGAATGGATCATGTCTTATACAATTAAATACATTTATGCAATCAAAATCAACTATTAATTGGCTACGTAATTTACGTTCATTATATTTTTGGCCATGTGCTAAACAATTATTTTTAAGAGAAATTTATCAATTAACTGGTATAGTAACACGTAAACGTTCAATGAATATATGTGGAAATAATAATATGGGTTCAATAAGAAGTTGTGATCAACAATCACCTGTTATTTTTTGGACAGCTTTTGAAGATATTCATCTAATTCAATTAGATAATGAATCAATTATTGAGGATCAACAATGGAATGAAGATTTTCAACAATATTTAATTGATAATGAAATTAATCATGAAAAAGTAAAAAAAAAAAAAAAACAAATAAACAATTATTTCGATAAAATTTAATAGTAGGAAAATAAAAGCAAAAATATGAATTTTCTTTCATTAACTTATTATTTTCAGGTTATGAAAGTGAATGATGAAATCTTAAGTTGAGATGTGTCGATAAATAGATTTAATAGCTGTTTATTATGTCACG